ATTTTTCATCTCCAGGGCAGAAAAAAGTCTGTAAATTGGTGAAATCATTATATGACTTGAAACAAGCACCAAAACAATGGTATGAAAAATTTGATAAAGTCATGATGGAATATGGATCTAAAATCAACGAGCGTAACAAATGTGTCTACGTCAAAGATACTGAAAATGGTTATGTCGTTTTATGTCTTTACGTTGATGATATGCTTATTGTTAGTAGCGATGATAAGATGATCAAATCTACTAAAAATATGTTAAATTCAAGGTTTAACATGAAAGATATGGGTTTAGCTAATGTCATACTTGAAATTAAAATTAATAGAATAACATATGGACTCGTTCTAAGTCAGTCACACTATGTGGACAAAATTCTAGAAAAGTCAGTCACACTATGTGGACAAAATTCTAGAAAAGTTCAGTAATGATGATACAAGTCAACATTTATCTAAGAATAAAGGTGAAAGTATTTTGCAAGTAGAGTACTCGAGAATTATTGGAAGTCTGATGTACTTGATGAGTTGTACAAGACAAGACATAGCCTACACAGTCAGTAAACTGAATAGATATACAAGTAATCGAAGAGATAATCACTGAAAATGAATAGTAAGAGTACTGAGGTACTTGAGATATACTCGTAATTTTGGACTGCACTATACCAAATATCCAGCAGTTATTGAAAGATATGGTAATGTTAATTGGATATCTGATATAAAAGACTCAAAGTCTACTAGTGGATTTGTGTTCACATTGGGAGGAGCAGCCATATCCTGGAAATCCTCTAAGCAAACTGTTATAGCCTGATCTACAATGGAATCTGAGTTTATAGCTTTAAATAAATGTGGTGAAGAAGCTAAATGGTTACACATCTTCTTAGAGGATATTCGAAGATGGTTAAAAGATGTGCCAGCAATTTACATATATTGTGACAGTCAATCAGAAATTGAAAAGGCATAGAGTAACATGTATAATGGTAAGTCTAGACATATACGTCTTAGACATAATACCATAAGGCAAGAGTGATCACTATTGACTACATAAAGTCAAAAGATAACATTGCGGATCCGCTAACCAAAGGGTTAAATAGAGAGTTAGTTCAAAAATTATCGAAAGGAATGAGACTTAAGCCTTGAATGGATAAGTCTATACAAAGGAAACCCAACTTAGTTGACTAGAGATCCCAAGATTTAATAGAATCACTATGGGGGATGTTAACTCTTATGATGCAACAGTGATTCCCGTAAAGATGAAGGATAAGCAATAGGCTTTTAATGATTCTTATACATCAAAATTCGAGTTAAGTAATGCAGGTTACTTGCAATAAGATATCACCTGTGTGAGAGAGAAGTGAGGCTGCTTCTGCGGGAATTGTGTGGGGAAAAATTCTTGTAAACTCTCGCAGAACCAGGCATATGTTCATGGCCAAAACGAACATAATAATAAGAATTGAAATGTGTTGGAAGAATCATGTGTGAAGTATATCATCATTTACATAAATGGCAGAACAGTTCAAAGACATCACGTTTACTGGTCAGCTAGTAAAGTAAATATATTTTCACAAGGAAATGTTCAAAGGGTAATACCTACCTATCCTATGCAGGTTTCAACCGTTGAGCTTTATCACCAGGTCTTTTATTTCACATTTGTGTCTCTCCCAATTTCTATTCATGTGGGGGGATTGTTAGAAAAAATGAGTATATAGCTGACTTTGGCATAAGTTTTGAGTGGGACCCGTTTAGCTATTTTGGAAAATCAATATTGATTTGTGTTCTCCTCCGTCAGTACATTGAAATCATAAATTTACTTGCCTTGATGCACGGGTGAATGGAAAATTGAATCTCAAAGTGTGCCGCCTAAAAGGAGTTTATGTTGATGGAAAATTAAAAAAATGATTGTCCCACATAGGAAGTTGATGAAAACTAAAACCATTTAATAAAGGATTACACTTTAGAATGGTGTAATCATGTGTAGCATAGAGGCTATCTCCACATGCTCATACAGATGGTGCAAATCATGGACTGAAATAGGCTTTGGACCTTGAACTTGTGTGTGGGCGCGACCTGCGTATACGAATGTCAGACCGAAAGGAGCAAAATTGGCCCCTTAAGAGTGTCCACGTTTTGCTACATTTTTATTTTTCAACTGACTTTTCATTATCTAATACTGATGAAAATATTGAAACTCTTGTGGTAATTGTCATGATGTGACGAGATCCAAGTCTTTATATATCTCGATTTTTTTTCCAGTTTTCATACAGTTCGAGTTTGTCTTCGTTTTCAGTTTCTATTTCAGTCTTTGTGGTGATATTGTTCAAGCACTAACTTAGTTCGCCGGAGTAAAACCTGCGATGCTTAGATTCTACTATTTTACCGTTGTATCCTAGGAAGCAGATGTTTAAATTATACCTCAAGCACGTACGGTGAGGGGGCGAATCCGTTTTAAGGAAACTGTGTGTAACACAGGCCTCGGGTTAAAAGTTTATTACCAGTTCTTCATTATTATTATTTTCTTGTTATTTCTTACTGTAATTAACAAATCATTGGATTTGTTATATACATAATTTAATATATTATAATACGAAAAATAGTAAGTGTATATACAGTGTTTAAGCCTACTGCATATACGGTATTCAAACTGTAAATCCGGTATCAAGCAGTAAATTCGGTATCCATTCTGTATATACGGTATCTAAGCTGTAAATCCGGTATTTAGTGTGTAAATTCGGTATCCAATGTGTAAAATCGATGTCTAAGTACTTGAAACACTTTTCTAACAGCATCATACAATCTAAAAAACATTTAAGATAATGTAAATAAATGGTAGGAATAGAAAGCTTAAAAGCATACTGTCGAAGAAATTAGAAGAGAAATTAAGAAGTAAAAATTAGAAATCTAAATCATATAAGAAGAACTTAAAATTATCCAAAGTGATAGAAATCCCTTTAAAAAGGTAGATTATGAAGAAGAAAATGATAATGAAGAAGAAAACTCAATAGATCTACCCTTAAAGAATCACTTGAGAGAGACAAACATAAATTTATATGTATTGAAATTACATGTCAAAAATTGTTATCCCAAACCTGATTTTTCTGAACATAAATATTGTTGAATTTGAAATACCTCTTAAGTATCTAAGAATCTACTTCACTTCTTCTCAATGGCATACATAAGACTGCCATTAGCAAAATGAATAAGGCACATTAACATGTAAGCTCATTCCTGTTCTGGAAAGGGTAAATTTTATCCAAATGAGTATTCACTTTAATAAATCATCATCCATTGTGAACCTACTTGGCACATTCTTCACATACTCTTCTTGTAATTCTCAAGGATTTATTTTGCACCACCCAAATCCTTCATTTCAATCTCCTTGGATAACTCTTTTTTCAATTGTCTACTCTTATTTACTACTACCAACAATCAACATATCTTCAACATAAAGCAGTCAGATAATATAGGAGTTACGAATGTTCTTTACATAACAATAATGATACGCCCGACGACTTTTGAAGCTATGATTATCTATAAAACTATTTGTTGGGTTTTGATACCCAATATATCCGTGTAATGATGGAAGAGATTGACACTGAACTCCTAACGGTTGATGCTAATTCATCAGAATCTGAACCAGGCCAAAACTTGCACTCCCATTGGCTTTTTAAATCGATTTTTTAGTTGGATTATACTTCATAGGCCTCGGCCGCTGAGTGAAGTGAAATGTCGACACCACAATTAAACCAATTGAATCAAGTAATCCACTTGCACCATTTGAATTAGCCTAATTATATTAGTGTTACTCATGGCCCAACCCAAATGACTTGGATAGTTTTAAGGTGTTAGCCCACTTATCCCTTTTGTTATTGGGCCTGTTGTTTGATCTAAAGCCTAAACCTATTGCTAACCTATTTATGCTGCCCATTACTGTTGTTTTCTCGTGTGTGGAATTAGCCCTTGGTTTTAAGAGAAGAAAAGGTCTCGTGTCTTGCTTTGTGCTTCCCTACCTTCTTGCTTTCTTGTCTAGTTCTTCCTTTAGCCTGTGTGGCTGATCTTTGAGGCTATATTAAACCCCACACCCAGCCCTTTGTGGGCTGCCATCGAGAGCAACCAACATTTGGGAAGGTGTTGTTGGCTTGTGAATTCGATTGGTTGTTTGTGGTATTCGATTGATTGGTTAGCTGAGCCCGGAAATCACAACATTGAAGCACAAACTACAACATCTCTTTTCTAATAGCTCGACATTTTTCACTACTGTGGTTCAGAATGTGCTAAATTAAAAAATAATAATTTAAATAATTGAGTGAATTAGTACACATAATATGACCTAAAAAAAAGAGAAGAAGAATCCTATCATATATATCGCTGTCCATTTTTTAATTTAAAGTGGTATTCTTGTTTGTTATGCAAAGCTCAGACATGCATATATAAAGGAAAAATTCCGTCATTTTGGAATTGATTCTTATCCAATTGATAAAGCATGATTGAGGGGCTGTTTGTTAGGATTTTTATTTTTATTTTTATTTTTACTTCTTGTAAAAAAGTTTTTTTGATGATCTTATTTTGGCTTCCTTTAAAAGCTCATTTAGTTTGATAAAACATTTTTAAAAAATTATTCAAATACGATCAAAAGTAGCTTCTTAATTTTAGAAGCAAGTTTTGATCTTAAAAGTCTTGCCAAATGAGTCCTCAATAGGCTGATTAATGGGCCTTTTATCTCGGTAATAAAATTTTAATAAAAAGCACCAAACGAATATTACATAAATTTTGATGTAACAAAAAATATAGAAAAAAAAAAAGGAATTATACAAATAACTCTATAGGAACAAAGAATTAAATCTCATTTTGTGCTGAATCTCTCAAAACGATTAATAAAAGTGTATGAATCTTAATTAATACAAATCATTGCATTTCAAGAAGCCATAGATGTGGTGTAACCCTAATTAACTTTAAAAATGCAAGAAGCAAATTATCATATCCAACATTTCCTCTATCTGAGATTCAAATAGTAGATTATTCTAAACTCAACCCTAACTTCAGATCTGAAGTTTTACAATTACTCTTCGAATTAGGCGTAGACGAGGGCTTGTTGACGACGACTGGCCTCGTATTCCGATCTATCGACCTATTATCATCGGGATAGGTAAGGCTGAACACAGGCGAATCTTGCTGAGACGGAAGGCATTGATACGGGCCGAAGCTGATTTGAGACTCCTCATAGAGTGTAAATTCAGCTGGAGCATGACATGAAGGATCATAAAACCATGCAGAAGATTTAGAATTCTTAAAGGGCTGAATATTGTTGTAATAGTTGATCATGTATCCCTTTCTTTCTTGAAGCTGCTGCCTTTTTTTCTTCATTCTTTCCTTTCTGTGGGCATTTTGATGGCCTCCTAATGCTTGTGAATTCGCAAAAGTCTTTAAACAATATTGGCACTCCAATTTCTTCTTTTCTCGATCGATCCCTAATTTATCGGGAACAAGGCTTATTTCGTTATTGAATTTCTCGTTTTCTCCCTTCTCTAAGGCAGGTTTCTCTCTTCCTGATGTTACAGTAGAAGAAGATGATGAATTCACACTTTCATCTCCTTCTGAAATTTCCTTCCGTTTTTGACACGAATCGAGCTCGAACCCGAATAGCTTCACCTTCTTCTCCATGCATGATTCTGCACCAGAGGTATTTTTCTCCATCACTCTTAAAGATGATGAGAATGAACAATGTTTTTTTCTTGAACTAATGTACCTAGCTTTATATAATATGTGTGAGTGTATTTTGTATCTACCTCCAAACAAGAATATTATTCTCCCACCAAAGATGATTCAATCTGTGAGTCTATCTATATATGTACAAATATTATAATTAAGAAATTTGGTGGTCTATAAAAGCACTTTAAATTATAATAAATTATTGCAATTAGTAGCACTTAAGCAATTGAATACAAATCTTCCTTGCTTAAAAAGTAGAAAATGTGATATAATATTATTAATGGTAATGACAAAAGTCAAAGAAAAAGATGAGGACATAATCACCTGCAAGGAAATGAGATTTAGCTTTAAAAAATAAATAATAAATAAATAATAATAAAAAGTAAAAAATCAATCTAGTACTGTACTAAAAAGTTTATTATATTAAGGATTATTTTGATTGACCAACAAATTAGTGGATTATTCATGTATTAATTGTCCTTTAGGTGCCTAGTCCCATCTACAATAGTACTTTAAATCATGTTCATACATATAATTATATTGGAGATAATTGCATTCCATCTTTCTAATTCAAGACTAGGCTCATGAGATTATATCTACTTGCTCGCTCGCTCTCACTCTCTTTTCGAGCAGATTTGAAAGATGAGTTCTACTCAACGTGATCATAAAAATTAGTATCATGGTCGACGTGCTTTTATAGGTAAACCTGGTTACAAATGAAGTGACCTTAGTGATCGGGCTAGATCCAGTAGAATATTTATATCACAAAATCATCTAATCGAAAATATGGTATTCGCAGACTTCAATTTCGAGAAGAAAGATATCGTAACAACTTTAAGAGGGTGTTTGGTAGAAATTAAAATCGGATTAAAATTGAAAAACTAGCCGTTATTGTTGACTTTTATTAGATGAGTGGGACCCAATAACGGCTGTATTTTCAATTTTAATTGGATTTTGAGCCGTACCAAACAAGCCCTAATTGTGGAAGTTAATGTTTATCTTGACCATGTATTTAGATGCATTAAAAAATGATAAGGGTAGTAGGAATGCTAAGAAGTGGGTAATCATAAAATATCAATGAAGAAGATCTTGGCAAATCTTCTTAGAGCAAGCAAACCCTTTTTATTATATCCCAAAAGCATATGATTTCACTCATAATTAATCTAGAAATAAATTATTATATAGATTTAAGTTGGACAGTTGTTGAAATTGGTCCCACTTTTATATGCTTTGTGGGCATGTTGGGAACTAGTCATTCCATTGTCTTTAAATTATCTTAAATTGGTGGACTTCTTCCACCAATAAATCTAGCATTCTTACAAATTCCACTATTTAAATTTTAATATTTTCTTTTTTTTCCATTTATTTCTAGTCTATTCTAATGGTTTTGTCTTCAAATGGGAAGAATTTCAAATGGGCATGCCGTCATCAATTACACTATCTTAATGTTTAATCGCCTCGTTTAATTAAAGTTAATAAAGAAACGACTCTTCAATTAACATATATCTTTAACTATTATTTTTTACAAGTACTTTGAGCTATTTGCTCATCTATCATCAAAATTCATCTTCATCTTCACGTGCACAAGTTATAAGAATGGTGGACTGCCACTTACAAGATAAAGAATCGAGTCGGCTTTATCTTGTTTATCAAATGGATTAAAAAATTTCACTCCCCGGAAGAAAAAGGAGCAATGAAATTATAACCAGTTTTTCTTTTTTATTATGTTTTTTGTTTAATATCTAAAACTTTCGAGATTTTTTTATGAGCAATGCTAGTGGTACATAGACGTGTACATAAGCTTGTACATAATGTGAGTAGGGGTAGGGCCTATGCTACAGTGTCGTGGGCTCCACCATGCTCACATTATGTACACGCTTATATACACACTTATGTACAAGTATATTAATCCTTTTTTTATTCCAACACTAAGCATGTGAAACTGGTTGCGGACAGTAAGATTGGATTATAGGTGGGTGGGTGGTTTCGATTTCTTGATTGATTGAATTACTTCTAATCTGACTTAGATAAGAGGATGGATTATTTCCCTTGTACACCTATGGGGGCTGCACAGGTGCTGCGCCGGCAGCCGTGTGGTTGATTGATTATTATTATTATTTTGTAAATGTCCAGTGGAATGATGCCACATCCCCTGTAATTGGCCGAGGTAGCACTTTCCTCCTTTACACCGAGCAAGGTTCGAAGAGGATTAGGAGGTGGCCCCCACCGTAAGAGGCCCTCTCCCCTGCACCTGCATTTTGGTGGCCCCCACTCTCTTGGACACATTCACAAGAAAAACAAATCCAATTTACTTTAATTTCCCAAAGAAAAGCCAAGATTGACTCAGCAAACAAGAATAAATTAAGATAATTATTTATTTGATTGATATGTAAAGAATCTTTCAAAGATATAGAATTTATATTTATTTAACTAATAATTTCGGTGCATGTGTTGCTCGATTTGACACCTATATAAGCACAATTCAAACACATTCTTATTATTATTTTTTTTTTTAAGGAGCGGAGATTATGTACCTTCTCACATTGTGGAATAAGTAACAGGGTTCTATGACGAGTAAAATCAAAACTAATGTTACGCGTTTTGATCGTATAGTAATCTCGAAAAAATAAAAGTACATACTCAATCAATGAACCAAGCGGTTCTTGTCGTGCACCAGCTAGTTCTTGTAATGAACTGGCCAATTCTTCGCTTGTTATGATCGTTGATTATTTTACGATTTCTTATACATAATCGACTAGTTTTCAAATCAATTCTCAATTTTCCAGACGAACTGATTTTGAGAATTAAAAGTGAGTGACCAAAACAATTTGTTATCATTCTATTGGACTACTACTGGTTTGCTGTGAAGAACACAATACAAGTTCAAAACCAAACATACAGGTCTTGATACCTTGATTCTATTATGTAAAGATGTTTGTAATATTCGGATTATTATTAAGGTAGATTCCTGTCATAAAGTGGCAACCATGTTACCAAGTTCCAACCTTTTAACATTGTCCGTGTGTTATTCCCATCTAACAGATATATTTAGCCGTTAAATGGCCAAACGACACGCACGTAAACTCTAACTGAAATGGTTAAAAAAAAAAAACAATATATAACATAATTTGAACATGCACCATTTTGTTTTTGAATATAGACGAGGTACTTTCCTTCTTTCCATCTTTTAACTTTTAAGCAAAAGCCAAAAATACTGGTAGCAAAATGTGCACCGCATATATGAGTCGAAATGAAGGAGAATTTAAAATGATTCAGAATTTTTCTCGTTAAGACAAAATATGTTCTCATATACGGACAAAACCTCATCCACAACTTTGATTTTCCTTGCATCCAAAAGCATGTGGTAATGTGGCCAAAATAGAATTCCTTGATATAAATCTTGCCTGTTTATCGTGCTTGTCGTTTCGAAAGAGGTAGCAAGGAGAGCAGGATCTTTTTCCTTGGCCCCTGCAATTTGAAAGCGCTCTATAAGCATAAATGGAAAACGAGATACAAGGATCTCCAAAAATGAAACACACGACTATCATTTCATTACACTAGACGTAATTGCACTGAGCATAGTTTAGTTCAGTTTAGTTCATGAATCGAGGATTATGTTGCAGCTGCAGGTCAGTATTCCTTAATCGAGCTCCGATTTATTCCAGCCTTAACTACATTTATATTCAACCATTGGAACAAAGTGTAAAACAACTATGAGGCAACATCAGTGAGCAATAGCTGCCAATGTCAAGTGTACAGTCAATGAGCTATGCGCAGTCCTAGAAGTAATTACTCGAAGTCATGAAATAGTAACACATAAAAGAGGTAAAAGTTGGCAAAGTAATTACCATAGGTATTCCCAAGTCTTTAAGGTCACTATTACCCATCTGCCTCAAAGCGTACATGTCCACCTGCAGAATGAATAAAACTCAGTTCATCCAAGCATAAAGACTCTAGTTTTTCCAATTTACATACAAGCAACCAACAACTAGCATTGGAGAAGAAAACGCGAATTTGAATAATGGGAAACCATATGTTGCTGAAAATGAATAAATTAATCACAGGGTCAACGGTTCATACAATTTACTCTGCCCAGAAATTTAATACTGTTCATAATATATTAGTGCAAACATAATTGTAAAGTTTTCCATTTTTCACTGTATACTGATCATTATTTTTTGTTTCGATTTCTTTACTGTTTCGAAAGACAACAAAAATTTCCAAGACACAACACCTGGGTCATTCATTGTAAGGAAGATAGGGAGAGTTATGTGTTGTGAATACAAAGCAATCAAAGAATGACCAGAGGTTACATACTTCCTCAGCCTTAAAGTGAATGGCATATTTTTCAAGGCCCAGTGACAGCAAAAAGCTGTCAACCGTAAGTTGGTCATCGACCTGCATACATAACAGACAATGTGTGAATTTACATTGAGTCCTATGCAGATAACACTACACAGTAACAAATTGCAAGTTTATGTTTAGAATACCAAGCTACTCGCTATACATGATGTAATTCAGTAACACTATCTAGGACTCAGCTTTTTGTGAGGTCAAACATGACTAGTCAAACACATGGAAGTAAAAAATAAAAGAATAAAAAAAACAGCTATTTTATTTGAAAATATTGATTAAAAAAGGTAGAAGGTTGAAAGGTCCAATCCTTCCCAGAAAGCCCATGCTGGTAAAAATCAAACATGAAAGCCCACCCATTCTAGCTACCAATGGAAAGAGTCCAATTTAGGATTCTAGCTAAAGTAGCCTTAAATAAATCCAAAAATAAATATCTAGAATATAATGTAAGCCTAAAATGCAAAGCTTCTAAATATAATCAACTAGTAACTGCCCCTGACTAACAACATAAAAGACATGGCTATAATAAATCATATATCCAAACATGTTCATATTGGACATCGAAAACTATTTCTCCATCCTAATGTTTAACATGTTGATGCAGAGGTGAAAGGTGGAAAGAACAGTCTAGCCTTCCAAGGAATCGTTGTAGGAGCACCTACAGGGAATAGTAGAACGAAGGAAGCAAAGTTGGAACTAAAATGCAATAAACTACATTATCCGCAATGTCAAAATATGAGTGATATAACAGAAAGAAATCTGATTGTATTAAGTCCTCCAATGTAAAATTTCACTTAAAGCAAGCAAATAATTCAAAAAATAATTAAGAAAGGAAAATTTCGCTTTTTATAAAACTAAAAGAAGCGTGTTTGGTTCTCCATAGTTTTGAAAATGACATTAGCCTTTGGGGTTGAACTTCAAACTGGCCTCTTGCATCTACAGGCTATGGTGCCCCACTGTATCACATGATATGGCGAACTGTGTCACAACTCATAAATACTAGAAAACATATGCACCAATTCGTCGTGCAGTGTCCTATTTATGCCCAATATTAACGGCACTTTCCTTCACAGAAATTACTCGCTAAACATTTGTAGAACCTAATGTTTCCTGGATAAGTCTGATGTGGCCAATTTCAGGGCAACCAACAGCCTAGTATATTCAAACAATCTCATAGTTGGCTATGGGAATAAGATAATCATTCTTACGTTGTTTAAAGACGGAAAACATCACACATTAATTTTTACAAATGGAAAACAATATTTAAATATTTAATTACTTCATTGTTTCATATTAAAATTACATCTAGAAGAAATAATAAAAAAAAAACTTAAATTCTCGGTATCATTTCTTTCATGTAACAATGTTGTCTCAGTCTAGGCAAATATTGCGGCAATCCTAGTTTGACAACACATTATCACACTTTACTACACACAGAACACAACCAAAAGATATATATGGAAAGTCACTTACATAAATTAACTAAGTCGTGTTGCAGTAAAGGCAACAAAGTTTCATGGAGGAAAAAGAAGCAAGATAGGTAGACTGTACCACATATGAGCTATTCCGTACAAGACTGCCCGGAAGAAGTGGAGCAACTACTGGTGCCACGTTCTTCATTTGTGCAGCAGGTGGAACCATATTAGTCAGGTAAGATGATGAACTCATTGGCCTTGAAAACTCAAATGCATCTTTGCTCATATATGTGCTCGTTCTGGTGTCATCATAAGCCCTAACTGGAAGCCTTCTCTGCAATCCTTCATCTCTCTTGGTTGGTGACAGACCTCTAAAACTTGCCAAAGTTTCATCTGGCGATCTCCGTCTTAAACTATCTACAGTCCAGGGAGAATAAGAATTAATCACTGAGTCCACCTTGGTAGCAGCATTCGCAGTTCTCGAGCCTGGCATGGGCCTCATGACACTAGAACGACTTGGCTCAGGTATATACTGACTAACATCCTTTAGTTCGGGAAAGCTTCGTCTAGCTTCCCTGGATTCAGGCATGAACTTTTGCCTGGGGTCAGACATGCGTTGCTCCCTAGGTTCATGTATCTGCAGTTCTCTGTAGTCACGGATGCTCTGTCTAGAATCCATGGTCATAGTCATTAGCTGCCTACCATCCCGTGTCTCTGGAAAATGCTGTCTACCATCCCTGGGATCCGTATGATGCAGCCTCGTCTCCTTTGACTCAGACCTCCGTGCCCGTGTACCTAGACTATTTGTTGAAGATTGAGCAGGCCTTGACAGAATGTTGCGAAGGTCTGTCCCACTCTGCTGGTCATTTTGACGTTGCTTCTGTTTACTTTTTTGCAGGATTTTGAACCGGAGATCACCTTTACTTAGATGAATGTCTTTATTCATAAAAAGCGCCAAAGTTAACAAAAAATAAGCAAGCCAAAAACTTAATTTGCAATTTTATAGAACTTCGAAGACTAAGTACGTCTTTTACCATCAATGCCATTGGCAGCATTACCATCACTTCGCTGTCTGCAAAATATAATTACAGCCATCAGTAATCTCTAACTTGCTAATAACAATCCTACCAACCATCATAACTTGCCTTCACAGTTATAAACAATGCATTACTTCATTGAATTTTCAACGAAAGGTGATTTCTACGAAAATCAGAATGACTTAAACATCATCCTTAGTTAAGTATTCAGTGTATAAAAAATTTAATTTTCTTACGAATAAGCACATTTATACAAGAAAAACCTAAACATATTAAACTATTAAGTAACATAAGTAGCTGATTTTAAAATTAGGTCACCCATACAATAAGACGGTTTACTCACCGTTTACTGTTAAATTGATTAGATGAATCGGAATCACTTCCTAGCCTATCTCTAATTGATCGTTTGCCTCCAACTGTTTGCTCTGAATCAATAAAAGGAATATTTAATCCATCCCGTGCCCTTTTCACTACCTGCAAAAGCCAATCAAAATGAGCACAACCAAGTTCACGAGCGCATAGTTCGAAAATGCATATAGACTTCAAATGCAGGTAATTCCACACCATCTAAATTATCCAAAACATTCAAGTTACATATGTTTTTTTACTGTGAGGACAAGCAAAAGAACCTCAATCGAATCCAAACGTTTCCACATAAAACTGCTAAAAATGCTTTTCCTTAACCCAAAAAATCTCCGAAATAATAATGGGATTATGGGATTTCACAGAAATAAGAAAAATGCAAAACCCATAAAACCAACTATTTCAATCCGAAACTTGTTGATCATTTTCGCATTTTTCCAAATTATTAAAATATATCAAACCGTACAAGAAACCGCTAAAATAATAAACATGATCTGATATAAATATAAACAAAAGAAGCGCGGTAATGAGACTACTTGTCCACTGCGGCCGAGGGTTACTGTGACCCGAGACCTTGAACTCTCGGACATTTGGATGCTGACAAAAGCTCAGAAATCCTGCAAAATTAATTTAACAGTAATTGAAAAAAAAAAGAAAAAGAAAATCAACGAACATAACTTAAATATACATTTTTCAGCATCTCAAATTTAGCTTTGGAGATTCCAAGTAAAAATAGGGTTTTCGCACAGTATGCAAAGAAGAAATTTGCGGAAAGAAAGGTCAATTGTGTGAGAGGGTACGAGCATGTGGATAGGTTCCAATTTCTAGCAAACAAAAAAAATTAAAAAATGACGCGTCGAATTCCATTTAGAGGTATCAAAATATCATAAGGTTAGGTTCAAGATCAATATACAATCTATTTTTGTCACAGTGTTATATGAAGCTTAGTTGAAAAAGTCTTCGACACGTGGATCAGCACGAGTCAATATTAAAAATATTATTTAAATAGCTGATTATTTAAAAATAATTCAACTCATCAGGGGCGGACTCAGGAAGGAAGTTTAGTGGGAGCGAAACCAAAAAACCTTGAAAAAATCTGAAAATCTAAAAAAAAACCTGGACAAAAAAGTTTAAAAAATCTAAAAATCAAAAGAAAAATTGGAAAATCTGAAAATTGAGTGGGGACGACGACCCCCCACTTGTCCTCAAGTAGGTCCACCCCTGCAACTTACACTTCTACGTATCAATAATATGCATGATCGTGGTTACATAAATTATGAATAGATTAATCTATTTGTACATTTCTCTTTCACATCTTGAATAACATTCCCTTATATGTAAGAAATCTGATCATTGATTGAAAAAAATTGTTGTTAAAATCAATGTATAAAAAATTGTCAACTCATACAATGTCATTATGAATTAGCACACTCCTCCTCTACGCACACAATAATAAATGTAAATTATTTCTTTGTCCAAAGGTAAAATTAAGATTCAATTATAGTAGCTTTCTATAATCTAAGGGCATGTTTAAGCCTCTTTTTTTTTTTTTAAATGCATTTTGAAATAATATATTGATGCAGAATGTGTGTTTATAAAATAAGGAAAATTTTTGTGTTTGTGTGCAAATTATTTTATTAAATAATGCGTGGTTAAAAAAAATAGAAAAAAAATGTATTTTGAGGAAAATGAAGAATGTGTGTTTATAAAATAAGGAAAATTTTTGTGGTTGTGTGCAAATTATTTTATTAAATAATGCGTGGTTAAAAAAAATAGATAAAAAATGTATTTTGAGGAAAATGAGAATCAAATCCAAATCGTTTAGTGTGTGTGTACAATTACAATCTTATGACAAAACTTCAATTTTGTTAAAATTAGATCGGATTAGCAGATTTTACATGATAGATTAGGAACCCGTTTTATTTTGGACCATTCTTGTTGTACAACCAATTTATTCCTTTTATTGTTTTAGTTTAGGTAAAATAAATCGAAAGTTCGTTGTCGTCAAAAAAAAAAATTTAAGAACCAGCCATTTCACCTCGATTTTTTTCCTTTTGATTTTTCCTAATGTCTTTTTAACCACCTACGCTTTAACATGTGACTCTTTTATCTTTTTGGACGGATATGCAATTCGATTTCTCAAAACATTACAGATCACATAATATAGATATTTTACTTTTTGTAATAAAAATATGTGTAATTTATCTTCTTCTTTTTTTCGCAAAACAAAAGAAAAAAGATAACCATTTATACATGATGACATAGTAGTCCCCAATGCCCTAATCCTCTAGGGATGACAATAGGACATGTCGAAATCAGAGCAACCATTCATGCCCCTCTTCTCATTAGGTATTTCTGTCTATTTGCTACATCCATGTACCCAAACTAGGTTGGCAATGCAGGACAGGGTCCAGACGGAGTGTGGCACGTCCCCTTTCCGCATTTGCCACCTCGTTTATTTTTGTTTACCTTTATTTTTTTTAATCGTTTTTTGTTGGTGAAAATCATTACTTTTTTTAAGTTTATAGGACAAGAAATATTTTCTTTAGAAATGATGATGATTTTTGTCTTTTCATGCGATCAAAAACTTATATGTTGAAATAGACTATAAAAAAGGTCGGGACCATGTTCTTCAATCGGCCCTCGCCCAGTTGTTCCCGATTAGGTAGGAAATCCTTGCCGTATTCAAAATGGGGCCCGTGAATATTGGGTTTAACCGATCTTTTTGCCATCCCTAAAGGCTTTTAATTCAGAAAAATGCATATGCATAATGCACCATATAAAGATAACTTACTCCTCATTCCTCCAATTTTGAAATAATTAGTTAATGACATGTTAACACTTGTTTTTCTTTTAAATAGTGTTGTGATATTCTCGTTGAATTTATTTTTATACTTTTGCATTTCCTTCTTGATCAATCACAACTGCAACATCAATTATTTCTTTGAAATCCTAAAAAAACAAAAGAAATGCGGAACGAGGTTATATACATTCTCAAGTGAGCATTCGAGAGTATCTAAGTGATAGCAATGTTAAGTCTTTGGTTCACAATTTTTTATTTTTTATTTTATCTAACTTTTCTCTTCACCTAATTATAACTACACTACAAAAAACGATTCATTCAACACAAAAAAATAAATAAATAAATAAATAATAATAATGTAAAAATGTGACCCACCTTATGGAGAATTGCGGCCACTGTACCAAACATTTTATTTTGTTTCAAACTTAATCCAAACATTTTATTTGTGTCACCCACAATACTAAATCTTTCAAAAATCTGTACCTCGAGTCCAATCTAACGAAATCCATCAATTAAGCCATTATTTGACCTCAAAGTAGAAAAATTGATAATTTTAACCAACTAAGATCATGACATTTTCATGAGATTACATTTCCCTTTTTTTTTTTTAAAATCAAAACAAACTTTTCAACACCCCCAACCAACAGCAGCTCTGCGATCACCACCGGCATCACTGTCGCCTTCATGTCGCAGCCTCTTCCAAAGGAATCCCGAGATTCACCACCATTTCTTCCCAATTCAACCGTCATGGCCATCATTAATGGTTATTGCCTGCTGGCCAGGAAAAGGATTTAACTCAATAAGAAAAAATGGGTTCAATGGAGTCGTTGCTCTACATTGCTAGTATCATCTATTTTCTGACTGTTGCTCATGCCAGAATCCCCAAAGTCTACACGCCACGTTTTACGATGGTAACGTCGCTTCCGACACTATGGGTACCCACTTATTCCCCGTACACCTGTCACTCTACACACATTCACAAATATGTGACATACTAACATCTGTTGAATTTTTCCTCTGCATTTTTTTTACTGATTTCCATAAACATAGTTCGCTACCGTTTAAGCTTAATTCTCTTCATCTCCACTCCATTTTATATTTTTTTTCTCTTCAATATTTCCAGGCGGTGCTTGTGGGTATGGAAATCTATACTGACAAGGGTACGGAGTGAACGTTGGAGCACCTAGCATAGTTCTATTCAACAATGGTTTGAGTTGTAGAGCCTGCTTTCAAATAAAATATGCTTTGGACTAGGATCCCAAGTGGTGGAGGTGGCTATGGCAGGTGGCCATCTAGATTTGGTTTTGGTGGGGTAGGGGTATTGGGAAGAAGAAGAAGAAGAAGATGGACCTAGTTTTAGTTTTTCTTTTATTGTTTTTTCCTTTGATTGTTGATTTTTAAAAGGGAAAATGTAATCTGACGAAAATGACATTATCTTAGTTGATCGAAATTTTTTTTTTTTCTATTTTTAAGGTCAATTGACGACTTAATTGACGGATTTCGTCATATTAGATTCCATGTGAGAATTTTCGAAAGGTTTGGTATCGTGGGTGATACAAAAGACAATATCATAGTGTGTAAATTTTGGTCTTGTATTGTGGATACTTGAAACAGTCAAGACCAAACCTATATTGAATTTTCTTGCAATAAATTTTTGTAAGTTTTTCGAACTTGTAAGAATTTTGACCATTTTTTTCAAAAAAAGGAGGTGATCATTCGAGAGTTTTTTTTTTCTTTTTTTAAATTCAAACCGATTAACCGAATCGAACCAAACCAAACCGAATCGGTTTGGTTTGGTTCGGTTTAAGAGTTAGAGTGGGTTGGTTTGGGTTGAAATTTTTCCAAACCGACTAATTTGGTTTTGGTTTCGGGTTGGGGTCGAAACCAATCCAAACCGAACCGCGCCCAGCCCTACCAGGCGGTGCTTGTGGGTATGGAAATCTATACTGACAAGGGTACGGAGTGAACGTTGGAGCACCTAGCGTAGTTCTATTCAACAATGGTTTGAGTTGTAGAGCCTGCTTTCAAATAAAATATGCTTTGGACTAGGATCCCAAGTGGTGGAGGTGGCTATGGCAGGTGGCCATCTAGATTTGGTTTTGGTGGGGTTGGGGTATTGGGAAGAAGAAGAAGAAGATGGACCTAGTTTTAGTTTTTCTTTTATTGTTTTTTCCTTTGATCGTTGATTTTTAAAAGGGAAAATGTAATCTGACGAAAATGACATTATCTTAGTTGATCGAAATTATTATTTTTTCTATTTTTAAGGTCAATTGACGACTTAATTGACGGATTTCGTCAGATTAGATTCCATGTGCGAATTTTCGAAAGGTTTGGTATCGTGGGTGATACAAATAGACAATATCATAGTGTGTAAATTTTGGTCTTGTATTGTGGATACTTGAAACAGTCAAGACCAAACCTATATTGAATTTTCTTGCAATAAATTTTTGTAAGTTTTTCGAACTTGTTCAAAAAAAGGAGGTGATCATTCGAGAGTATTTAAGTGATAGCAATGTTAAGTTTTTGGTTCACAATTTCTTATTTTTTGGATCTTACTTTTCTCTTCACTTCATTACAACTAACTACAAAAAACGATTCATTCAACACAAAAAAACACAGCAAAAATGTGACCCACCTCAGTTGAATTGCGATCGCAGTACCAAACATTTCATTTTATCTCATACTTAATTTAAACATTTTATTTGTATCACACACGGTACCAAGCAATTTGAAAATTTGTACCTGGAATCCAATCTGACGGAATTCGTCAATTAAGCATTTGACCTC